TTGAAATGAATTCCTTCCTTATTCATTGCTTGTTCTTTTCCTGTTTGTACTTCATTGATTGCTTCTATACTTGCTAGTTCTTTTTTTCTTACTTGTCTTTCATTGTTTGTTCCTCTCATTTCCTTGCTTGTCTTTCATTCTTGTCCACTCCTTTGCTCTCTCTTGTTTGTTTTTTTCATTTCAAAACATGAATGCATTATATTTCTCTTGTGGTTTTAGGGCAAGTCTGATGAGGAGACTAAACAGGAAGGTGATAAGACTGAGGCTGATGGTGATAAAGAGGAGACAAAGAATGGAGAAAAGAAAAAGAAGGAAAATTACACAATATACATGTACAGTGTATTAGTATTGGTACAAACTACACAATTAGTGTACTTAGAAGCTACTTGTACATGAACTTATATTGGACGGACTTGATATTCTAGGAGGGCAAGAAAGATAAGAAGGGAGACAAGGACAAGAAGGAGGAGAAGGAAGAAGAGAAGAAACCACCAAAGCCACAGACTATCAAAGAACCTATTGAGGCCAAGACAGAACATAGAGGTCTACCTAAACCCTCTGAAGATAAAATACAGTCAATGAAGAAAAAGTAAGTGCAGTTTACAATATGATTAAATTGTGTTTATTATATAATGTTATATAATTGAAAATGTGATTTTTGGTTTTAAAAATGAGTGCAGTTATGCCATGATGTCAGGAAAATTTCCAATTAAGAGTGATGTCAATGTGAATGAGCTTAGGCCTATATAATGCCATCAAAGTAAGCTTCAATGATTCAGCAATTACATTCTTCAAAAGTGACATTGAAATTTTACATGAAATTGTATAACAACTAGAACGTCTTATTACCATATTCATGTTTACTGTTCAAGGGGTCCTTTGTACAGCAAATGATCTGGACAAGTATTCCTTTGCTACAGCAGTAGACCTGATGTAGTAATTCACTGGACAGAGGATGTCAAGAATAATTGACAAGAGAATGTTTGTTAAGGGATAAGTCATGTTCTTTCTTGTTTTCAAGGATTGATGATATGAGAAAGAAAGATGAGGAAAAAAGACTTCTTGAGATTGCCAAAAATGAACTGGAGTCCTACATATTCACCTACCAGGATAAACTCTACCAGGAGGACTATGAGAAATGCTCAACAGAAGAGGAACGTAGTGTGTTGTCAGGGAAACTGAGTGAGGCTTCTGATTGGCTGTATGAACAGGAAGACAGTGTACCAACTCAGGTGAGTCATGTGATTAGCATGTGACATAACTTAATCCATAGTTTGACAGCCTACAATTCTCATGCTTTAAAGTGACTTTTGGCTCACACAGTGAGCCTATGGGATCAACCAGGCGTACGTCCGTCCGTTGGTCCGTCCTTCAACATTGGCCACACAAATTAAAACTGCTATTCGGATTGAGTCATATCCACATTCATTTTATGCATATCCATAATGCCTATTTGACCTATCATCACCATTTCCCAAGTTCGCCTGGTTTTCGAGAAAATGCTGATTTTGACGTCAAAAAGTCAAATTTTCTGTAAATATGAAGGTTCTACACTGTGTGCGCACAGGACCGTGGGTCCTTTATTAATATATCTTGAACTTTGTATGAAAGTAAAGCTGATCTTCAGTTTCCTTGATTGTGTCTAAGCTAATCTACATGTAAAATCTACTTCCACCACAATGCCATCTCCCTTTAGACTAATCAAAGTGGGACGTAATGAGCACAATTTGAACCTGTCCTACATTGACAATCCTACATGAAACTAATAAATATATTAAATAAATGTTCCCTTTAAAAATTGTTTTGTTTTCTCTTAGGACTATAAGGATAAGCTAAAGTCACTCCAGAAGGCCATGAAAGATGTCATATTACGTGTAAAGGAGGTATCAGAGAGACCTGCCGCCTTAGATGCGCTCAAATCTATGCTCAACTATTCAGTTCACTTCAAAGAAGGCATGAAGAACTTTACAGCAGGTATGACCGAAGCAGATGAGATCTTCACTGAAGTTGAGTTCAACACACTTGCCAAACTTGTCAATGAAACTACAGTAAGTATTCTAATTCAGATGCTTTTTATTATACTTAAGCATCGGCCATTGTTCATCTTTATTTCAATTAAACGTAACTGTCTATTTTATGGTTTCTATAAAAGATTTGTTTCAGCATGTTAATAATAATTTTACAATAAACCATCCAGGCTTCATAAAATTATGTCCATTACATTGCGTTAACACCTTGATTCTTGAAGACATAAATACATTTATAATGTCAAAGACTAAGTGTGTTTTTACAAATATTGATGAACGTATTATTAACTGCTTGAGGAATTATCTGTACATCTTTTTTTCACAGAAGATTTCATGATAATTTCAGGCCTGGAGAGAAGAACAATTGGCCCTGCAAGAGAAAACACCCCTATATGAAAAGCCAATAATCCTTATAGAGGACATTGCAACTAAAGTGCAAGCCCTCGATAGGGAAGTGAAGTATCTTGTTAGTAAAGCTAAATACTACAAGCCCAAACCTAAACCAAAGGAAGAGACTAAAGCATCTAATACAACTACTAATACAACCAGTGAGGACACTGGCACTAAAAAAGTAAAAGATGATAAAAAAGATAAGAAAAAAGGTAAATGTTATATTTTTGTTATGGTTACCCCCCACCCCCTCCCCCTCTTATCATATTATGCCAGTTATTCAACTAAGAAAAAAAGCTGTCAGAATTCAAAATGTCTATAATCTAAATGTTTGTTGGTTAAATAGCTTCCTGAGTGACACAATGAATTTTGAAAAAAAGATTCACAAAAACTTTGGTCTTGGCCCAACATGTTATCCGATTCAACCTTTTTGTACCATACCACATTGAAAATGAATTATAAATTTTTATTTGTTCAAGTAGAGGATGATGATGACGATGTTCAGGTAGAAGTAGAGAATGGAGATGAACCTGTAACTGAGGAGCCAATAAATACAGAAACTAAAAATACAGGTATGTATAAATATATACATGTAAAGTTTTACAGCATTTTGCTTAGACTGATTTTTCAAAGCTCCTCTGAATATCAAATTAGTTTGACAGTAATCATATTTAATATTGTCATACTTGTGAAGTCTAGTAGAATGACTTCTGGATATAAAACTGCTAAATCAAAACTTTTTATTAACCAGAAAACAATGCAGTTTTACGAGGCTTGAAACATTTCTATGTATCTGTCAATTTACATATTGAATATTCTTCTTCCAGAGTCTAATACAGAATCAACCAAAAAAGAAGAACAATCTGATAATAAAAAAGAAACAGAATCTTCAGATAAATCAGACAATGATGAAAAATCAGAGAAAGTTGAAACTGAAGAAACTAAACATGGACATGGAGAAAATGGTCACGATGATGAATTATAACGATGAAAGAATTTAGTGTAATTTCATTTCATTTTACTCAGTGATCCAGCAAGACAGCTATCATTAATAAATCCATTATCATGACATGAATGATTGAATCCAGTGAACCCCTTCAAAATATATTGTGGCAGAATCACACCCACCATACTTAATAGGAAATATTGTAAAAATATATATTTCAAAAATCTGACCTATTTCTGAGGTCTGTTTGACATTCTGTGTTTGATATTAAATAAGACATGTTATTATGTATTTTGCAAGGGTTTTCACTTACAGTTCAGCAGAGTTCAGTTCAGAAGGGAAATATTAGGCCAGAAAACCTGAACCCTTGTATGTAAATTATATTTATGAATGGAGACCGAATGAATATGAGGAACAAGGAGTTGTGGATTTTGTGTTTGTAAAACAAGTGAATATTGCAGTAAAATAAGTACTTCCTAATATCAATTGTACATCTAGATGTAGGAATCTTGACCAATTTTTAAAATCCATTTCATTTTGAGTGCATGTTATGTGTACTAGCTTCATTTAGGAAGAGGTCTCAAAGAAAAATCTCAGTTTCAGTTAATTTAAAGTGGGAGTATGTCACTTGTAAAAAGTGATCTTTATTAATTGCCAAGTGGGAATGTGTAATTTGTTCATGATAGAATTGCCAAGTTACTAGTTAGTGATATTGATTTTAATTTATAAATTATACTTTTGCCTAAATTGGGTTGAAAAGATAAAGTGTTTTGAAATTTAAATACCTTTAGAAGTGAATCAATTTAACTTTCTGTGTAAAAATGTCAGAATACATGAGCTGATCTCATCAAAGATTGAAAAGAAGGGTCGACCAATTTATTAACCAAAAATAGTCATTTATTTGAATTATATTTTGACTTAGGTTTTATATTGTTTGTATGTACATTGCATATTCTTGTCACCCCAAGTTCATGTATTTATGTATAGTTCTGGTAAAATCATTTGTGTTACATTGAGAAACATGTTTATTGAGATCCTCAAACCTTCTACTGGATTAAAATGGAAATCCAGCTCATACAATAGAAGTACCCCCTCCTCTTCCACATCTAAAAAATATATTATACAATAGAATGGCGGGGATGGGATTATATCTAATTTATCTATACCTCAGTTTCAGTGGAAAATAGTTTCTGATTCGCTATATTTGTTAACAATGTAAAACAATTGATTTTAACAGCAATAGTTAATGTTGACTTTCATGTTATATTGTAAAATATGTACAGTTTTCTTTGTACATTCCAGCTCATAATATATAAAATATAAAAATGTATAGATAATAGCAATACTGATTCATTACTTTCCACAAAACATTATTATAATACACAGATACAAGCAACATTGCACGCAGCATTCATTGATCTCCACATTGAGTGGTGATGGTAAATTCAGCTCCACCCCTAATCCTTTTATGGTGTGAAGGTCGACAAGCTTAGCCAATTAGCAAGCTGAATTTCTACCCCATGATTTTTACATGATTAATGTAAGCATGTATAGCATATAATGATTAAATATTGTAAGAAGAAAATTCAAAATGAAACCACATCAACATTTCTATCAAAAGGTTTGGTTTCTCTGTTGATTTAGAGACCACTCACTTTCCCAAAAATGATCACTGCGAACTAATGACTGTTATTACTTATTCCAATACATCTAAGATAGTATCGCTGCATAAGTTTATCAAACATTTTTTGGTCTTCACTTAAAGAATCCCAAAGGAATGGCGAGGACCAGTTCTTGTCAATTTTCAAATCCCCACAGCAGTTCTGACAACAAAGACGCCAAAACTTAACACTAAATTTCTCCATGTGGAATATAAGATGTAGGCTGAATTGCAGAGGTCTTTATCTTGGCAGCAGTAAATACAGTTAGAAGGAGTTCTTTTGCAGACTTTTTCATTGTTGAGTCTCTGTAGAGCGGCACATTTCTCCATATTAATGCAACTCTGAAACAAATGAAGATTGGTTAAAAACCTCCATTGAATAAATGATTAAGACTTGTTGAAAACCATAGGTTCTGGGCCGATATAAAGATGGCAGCACAAACAGAATCCAGTATTATCTTTTCTCTCTGAAAGAGAAACATAGATAAACACAGATCGATTACCATGCCATCTTTTTTAAAAATTAATATTTCTATCGACCTTTGCCTATGATTGAGACATATCTTCAATTTTCAAAAATCTCAATTGGGTTCAGATGGATTTTTCAAAGAGACTTGCTTAAGGAATGGTTTTTAATTGTCATTGGCTGTGGAAAATTTTTACCCCTCTCCTAAATAAATTAACAAATGTTTTTTTATTTTATTATACAGTTGGAATCACAGAATTTGTTTTTGCTAAAATAAGCAATTAGTATAGACCACAAGGCAATACTGAATAGAAAATTACAAACACCTTAAATACATCGATGTGCAATAAAGCTGTAACCTCACATTAATTATGAAGGTCATTGCTGAGTCAAACTTAGGTCTAGTTGAAGATTCACTTTTATATTTTGAGCCTGATATGCCTGAGTTTCTGCTTTATATAGCTTAAAGGCCCACTTTGCTTATTTTCAATGTTTTTGGGCAAAATAAAGACTTTTATTTGAATTTTATAGAATGTCCAATGTATTGATGAGAACCTTCTTTCATTTGACACCAACAACAGCTCAAACGAACCACATCAAAGCTTACTATAATTAATCAAAAAATATTTTCGATCTTAGCAAGCTTTATATATCAAGTTTTTATCAATGTCCTTGAAAGATGCGAAGTTGTTTGTATTACGTGATACATTCATTTTTATAGAAGTGTCGCCAAAAGTAATTTTAAACATGCACTTTGTCTAGCATGTGCATGCACTACTAATGATCTCTGAACTTCAAATGCTTTTTTCCTATGTGAGTAATTTTTTTCTTGGCTCAATATTAAAGCAAATCAAACTTTGTTTCATATTTGAGCGAAAGTGTGAGTAACATGTTTCAATGATTATTTTTTCTATTTTCTTCTTAATTAAGTATAGTGGGCCTTTAAGATCCTCAAAGATAAAGATTATTTGGCAGAGAATTGTCATTGTATTTTCAATGGATGTTGTTTCCCTTGCATCAGCTCCATGGTACTCAAGTCAGTATTTGAGTAGTATTTGATAATGTAAACTACCATGACATCAACATATTGTTTGCAATAATGGACATCTAGTTTGGTGATGAAAACATCCATGACATTGCCTGTCATTCTTCAATCAACAGTTCGTGAATCATAATTATTCAACAATTTAGTAATAGGAAATGAGAATTGTTTGTTTATAATTTCATTGTGTCTACATTGCTCTTTGAAACCTGAAATTGGTTTTATTGTATGTTCCCAACTACAATTATAGCTTTGTTTGAAAATTCTCAAAATTTGTTGTTTTATTTATTTAATTTTATTTCCATTTTGTGTCTTACCTGATTTATATCAATATGTATATAGAGCTTTTGCATTGTTTCACATTTACAGCATTTATGTTGCATTTTGATAGAAGTGCCGTAAGGGTTAACAGTAATACAGGTCAGCATTGAATCACAGACCAGTAAAACCTATCTAATCCAAACACCACTCGGACAATCCAAGAGTGTTTGAACTGGTAGGTGTTCACATTTTGAGGTGTTTAGCCTAACGTGAACGTTTATGGAAGGTTTTATAAATGGGACTAAAAAGTATTCACAAGTGTTCAGATTAGGATATACAGGTTTTACTGTATACTGAAAAATAAGCAACCCAATTAAAAAACTCTTTAACTGGCTCTGGGCCTCTCTCACACTCTTGTCTTTCATTTCGTGTGCTCTCTAATCATACAACTCAAGTCTTGGATGTTGTTTGTTATACATACAGTAAAACCTTTGTATATGGAACATTTTTTGCCAATAAAAAATCTCAGCATTGGTAGGTATTCGCTTCAGAGAGGGCAATTTATACAGAAGATAGTAGAGTAAGTGCCTGGAAAGGGTGCCCACTATAGGTTAACTACAGAGAGGATAATTTATACAGAAGTCAGTCTAGAGAGAGGTGTTCACTAGAGAGAGGTGTTCACCAGAGACAGGTGTCTACTGGAGAGGTGTTCACTAAGACGGGTTTTACTTTAGTCTGCACCTGCTGTATTCATGGACCAGTATTTGAAAGCTGGTAAAAAATGCACCAATTAAACCTTTCCAAAAATCATTTCTCATACTTTGGTATATCTTACTCCAAACGCTTCCATTTGGTGTTTCCTCTTATAGCAAGCATTGTGTGTGGGGTCTGTACATGTTATTGTTCCTTCATCGTTGCATAGATCATTGGTTGGAATTTCTGTGCACTGGTAGCATTGTAAGCCAATCACACTATGTATCATACCTGACAAAACATCGAAAATATGATTAGAAAAGCTGCAATAAACTGAAAAAGTATAAAACCAGGCACTTAAGATAATGGGATAGACTTTGTCCTGTTTCTTGTTAATAAAACCAGAGTAAATTTTTTCCTAATGAAATTCAAATATTTTATTGCCATGGTTACATCTTGAAAGATTACAGAAATAGAATGAATTTCTTAGACTCAATCTCCTGGCAATTAGCCATGAACAAAACACCAAATACTTACAAAGGTTCTTGTTAATTAATTAATCTCAAGTTTTAACCAAATGTAAACTAATATGATATAAGAATAGCAGTACCAGATATCACAAGTGGGAACACACACAGCCACTGCCAAGTTAACCTCATTTTCACATCCTTGTCAGTGTTCCACGTCTATTGTTAGGATATCTTATCACAATGATGATATTTTTGGCTTAAATAATTTCAATAAGACTTGATAAAATACTTTTTCTCTGATGCCATTCTTTGTCGCGTGATCACTGTATAATAAGCTACTCCTTATCAAATGTCTATTCTTATCCTTTTGTAGAATTCAATATTCTCTGAGATATTTCTGGTTTATATCCATCAATTTGTGTTTTAGTTGTTTAACATTCAGGTGTTATATTCCTTATCTTGTACTAGAGTAGCCAGCCGATAAGGCTGTTCTCAAACTATGCAAATAAAAATCTGAAGAGTTGTAAAAAAGGCAATCAGAATAAGTCAATACAATAGAACTTATTTTATCAATAGACCTTTGAACATTCAGTTTCTATGTAAACCCGCCATTGTCATAATGTAATTCTAACTGCAAACTCAAGGTTTACATTTGGATATATTCCAAAGAATTGATTTTGTTTGTACACTGGTTGTTGTATTCAAGAAGAGGTGCGAAGTTTAATTGGAAGAACATGTTTTACTTCTCAATTATCACAGCTAGATGAATGGTTTATGACACAACACTTTTCCACTTTAAAAACCAACAGAAATTGCTTCACAGAACCTTTTGATTTCAAAAGATTAACAATTTTTGAATGCAATGTCAATGACGTATTTTCTTCACAATTTTAGAATAAAATACAAAAAGAAAGAATAGTCAAAATCGAGGCACTTTCTTAGTCTGGTATTTTTACAATTGAAAAATATGAAATGTTTATAGAAATTTAAACGCCTCATCTCTTGAAAGCCCATGTTCATATAAAGAATATACAGTTGTAACAAAGATGAAGCCATTCACCTATTGTTTTTAAAGAATTGACACTTGGCAAGCTATCCAAAATCATTGTGGCACAAAATATGATTGCTACCACATGTAGAGCACTAAACCCTAACTAATTTCACTCTATTCACTCATTCAATAGTTTTAAAATAGTTATCACAAAAGGATTCACATTTTAAACTGAACCTGGCCTGTTACATGCAGTGCACTGAAGCTGAACTAATTACACCCACTCACTTGTCATTGAACCTCATAGTCAATACAAAAGAAATCAAATTTCCTAAAATTGGATCCAAATAAATTGGGCCATTTACCTTTCACAAGAGTCAGTGTGGGGTTTAAGTTAGACAACCCATCTTAGGACAACTAATAGCCCTCTGATATTATTCCTCCTTAAACCCTGTACTCATAGTTTATTACTCCAACTAATAAGCATTCTAAGTACCTTTAACATGTATTCATGGCTGATATAATTTTTCTAGAAATCATTTATCTATAAAAATGCCATCCATCTTCTCAAAACCCATTTTATACAAGTCAATAAAGCAAAGTTAAAGATAAACATTGCACGACATCCAACAATAAGCATTACTGACTATTAAATTATTTCATGGCCATTCAACTCTAGTTCAACTCTATCATGGTCCATTGGCTGTCAAATAGATAGAATGACCATTGTCCATTGTCCACGCATATGGTATTGAGTCCACAAATGCAACTATTGCATGGCTTACTAATTAACCATTGAGTCTCATGATATAATATTTCGACAACTCTTCCGTGAATATCTTACCAAGAAATTCCAGGGATTTACAATACTATAGACTAGTAAAAGAGTTTGAGTGATTATTTAGGTATGATTCATTCACCAAGTGAGAAACATTGATTCCATTGCAATTATGTTTCCATCTCTATTGAAAGATGGCAGTAGCAGATTCCGATCACGTGACTTCCGTAAATGATAATAATGGCGGCCACACATTTATAAAAACATTGGAATAAAGTGCCGATTTCTTCCTAATATTTTGTTTTATACGCCTCAACTGTAATTTCAACAAGGTATTTACAAATTCATTAATCCAACGGTAGGTAAACCTTTAAAATCAACATTCTTAAACATGTATAATATTGTCATAAAATTGACAATGGTTTCAGGTTTGATTTAATTTTTTTTAAATAATTTTGAGTGACTGTGTCATTCATTGTATGACTAGCTATTACTCATCTCACGATATTGTTTTGTAAATCTGATCTTTTGATATGCATTCTCACCATATCTTTATGAAGGAAGTGTTACCTATAATTATTGTCAGGTAGATGATTGGGGGGGGGGGTATGTATGTATCCAGCAGACTGAAAAGTCAGTCTGTTATGATATACTACAGTCCTGTGGAAATTACAGTGAAATTTTTTGCACAAAATTATCAATTTGATGAAGCATTAGTTCACAAAAATAAACATTATATCACGTCAATAAGTGGTAAGGTCGAAGTCCCGGGGGAGGCGGGGGGTGAAGTTTATCCTTTCCTAAGTAATTTAAGTCCAGCATGTCTTTAAGTTTCCATGCACTTTATATACACAGATGATTTTAATTTTAATAGGTAATTTGAGGTTAGATAGAAATTGTGGTGGGGGAGGGGGCGAGAAAATGATCAAGTATAATCAAGAAAATAGTTCAAAAAAGATGGATGGCTGAGTTCATACGATATACGACATTTCTTACATCACTGAAGACTACTCGTCAAACATACACACCAAGTTTGCTCATCGATCTAACTGGAATGTAACATTATGTCTTTATTGCAGGATGTAAACAAGTCAGAATGATATGCAGACCGTTTTAGCATAAACTAATCAAGGGGTCATTTTGACCTGTAAGACTACTGTCTAATTAAACCGCAATGAAAGGTTTTATCATGGGACCTTCCTGGGATCAATATGTTATTAACTTTAGCATGCATAATATTCTAAGAAAGAATAGTGATAGATACCTAGCTGAGACTGAAAGATTTCTTCTTCAGGAGACAGTGACAGTCATGCAAGGACATAAATGTAGATGTATAATTTTGTTTCTATGTATTGTAACATACAAAGCCTTATCAAATGTAAATTCTAAGCAAATACCAGACTTTCCATCACACCCCCAGAAAACTGCTCATCAGATTTACTTTATATTTTGTATATAATAAAAATAAGCTTTGAATGATCAACTTGAATTGCTAAATCCATTTCAGATGTATTTTTATCGTCACCATGACCTGTAATACAGGGCCGTCAGATGGGGGGGTGCGATGGGTGCGACCGCACCCCCCTTTGTCACCCCCCAAAAAAAAATTGAAAAAAAAATTTTGAAAAATATTTTTTTTCATTGACTCATACACTTTGAAAGTACCCAGAAAGCACCAAATAGCATCTTAAATTTGTAAAATTTTCTAGGGGTATTGGCCACCCCTCACACCCCCCACAAAACAATGGAAAAGTTCTAAATTTATTTTAGAGTTTTGTCTCAGACACTTTTAAAGTGCCCAGATATCATCAAATAGCTCCTTGATATAGTTAGTGTTTCTGGGGGACTTACTCCCCCTCTTGCATCTTGCACTTGCATAACCCCCCCCCCTCTGGCGTCCCCCCCCCTTGACCCCCCCCAAAAAAAATTGTGATTTTCTCAAATTCTTTAATTGACTCATACACCAGAAAGCACCAAATAGCGTCGTAAAATTGTAAAATTTTCTAGGGGGAGTGGGCCACCCCTCACACCCCAAACAAAACAATGGAAAAGTTCTGAATTTGTTTTATGTATTGTCTCAGACACTTTTAAATTGCCCAGACATCATCAAATAGCTCCTTGATAAAGTTAATGATTCTGGAACACTAACACTTACTCGCCCTCTGGCATCCCAACTCCACCTCCCCCTCTGGCAGCCCCCCTCCCTTAACACCCCCCTCCCCCCCAAAAAAAATTTTCAATTTTTTTTATTGACTCATACCCTTTGAAGTTTGAAAGTGCCCAGAAAGCACCAAATAGCATCTTAAAATTGTAAAGTTTTCTTGGGAAATAGGCACTTTTAGGCACAGACACTTTTAAAGTGCCCAAACTTCATCGAATAGCACCTTGATATTGTAAATTTTGATATGGGGGACAAACACTTGCTCCCCCTGTGGCACCCCAGCCCCACCTCCCCCTGTGGCACCCCTCCCCCCCCCTTTGACACCCCCAAAATTTGAAAAAAATTGTGATTGTTTTTCAATGTTTTTATTGACTAATACACTTTAAAAGTGCCCAGAAGCACCAAATATCATCTTTAAATTGTAAAATTTTCTACTAGGAGAGTTAGTCACCCCTCACATCCCCCACAAAACAAAGGAAAATATTCTGAATTTCATGTATTGTCTCAGACATTTTTTTAAGTGCCCAGACATCATCAAATAGCACCTTGATATGGTCAATGTTTCTGAGGGACAACCCCTTGCTCCCCTACTGGCACCCCACCCCACTTCACCCTCTCATCCTCTTTGACACCCCCAAAAGAATTTGAAAAAATTCACATTTTTCTTATTGACTCATAACGCACAGGCGTACCAGATGGTTGCAAATTCGCTCCAAATACAACCAAATTTCAAAATTTTCCTGGGGTAGAACCCCCAGACCCCCTGAATGCTCGGTTTTTTATTCACTCAACTATTATTCCCGTGGTGGTGGCGTACTACTTAGAAACTTACACTTTGAAAGTGCCCAGAAAGCACCAAATAGCATCTCAAAACTGTAAAATTTTCTAGGGGGAGTGGACCACAGTGGACCACTCCTCACACCCCCACAAAACAATTGGAACGTTTGGAAGTTGCATTTGTTAATTCCAAACCAATATAGGGAGTAACTGACCCCCCCCCCCTCTGTCTTACGCGATTTGATTAATGCTGCAAAAAATGACAATTTTATATTCTCTTTAGTAAGCTAAAAACCGCACCCCCCTTGGAGAAAAGTGTCTTACGGGCCTGTAATACCTAGTATATATTGGTGTGATCATGTTCACAATGTGCCTTATCGAGGAAAATATGTATGACAATTGTTTTAATTTCTTTTTAGAGCCATGTCAAAGAACATATTGGAGAAGCTCAAGCTATGCTGATTTCTATTGAAACAAAACTTATTTAAGGACAACAGCAGCCATGGCAATGAGGTAGGAATTTTATACTTGCTCTTATCTGTCTTACTATACTCTCTTTGGATTTTCAAGAGAAGACAAACATTAATTAACATATATTTATAGAAAGAGTGTAATGTTATTCTGAATTTGCATCTAGTCGTGGGTCTTTCCAAGTATCTATTTTCAAGCAGTCCTTGTTTGAGAGAAGGCAGATCAGGGATTACGCAAGACTACACAGTGCTTGGAAGGTCCCTTGAGAATATAAGTGTCATGAGCTCATCAGCTATCCTCTAACTAGGATGGATCATTTTCTGTTTCACATTTAAAGTACTAAGGCCCTGTATATCCTATCCACTCTTCCCTTGCTGAGCAAGAGTAAAGTGAAAATACAGGGTTTTATTGCGAGACTTATTTGGGTGATCTGATTGCTTAAGCAAGTTCAGTTGTTCATCGGTAATAGTGAGAAAACCAGATAATGTTTTAATCCATTTTGAAAGGGGTAACTCATATCAAGTCTTTTGGCAGCAACTCACATCTGATCAACATAAATGTCTCCTGTCAGTTCTATTTTAGCTGTGAATCTTCAGGGAACTGCTACGTGATATCTCTGATGTTTTAACATTTGTGCCTCTCTTAGTTATCGTACCAGGGATAAAAAGGCGAAATGGTCATGTATTATATATGAATTGAAATGGCAGAGAGAGGACTTGGCAAGAAATTAAATCTTCAGATATGAAAACAATGCTTCGAATTGTTTAGCAATGCCTTTAATTGAGACTCTTCATTCAGTTTATAGAGAGAAATATAGTCAATAACATATGCAGAGTGACAGTTTAATGATTAGTACACCTAGAACCATTTTTTACAGACATTCCTGAGTCAATCTGTTTGCTATTAGTTCTGCCATTACAACAGGATTTCTCCTGACACAAGATATGTGGGTAGGTAGTGTCCAGTGTCCAATATGATGTTTATGATAGAGAAATATTTTAACGAGAGAAATAAAATTGAGAATTTTTGGCTATCCTATTGTTGAAGCATGATTCTGGTCTATATGATAATGTATAATGAATAAGATCTGTCATGACTTGAAGATGTTCAAGAAGCAGCATTTTGTCATCAATCTTGTTACCATAGCAACCTCTCATCAGCTGGCTACTGAGTCAAGCTGGAAGATATACATCATCTCATCCCTATTTTGATGATCAATGTTGTTTTAAGGTAACTTGCCCTGTTTATAAAAAATATCATAAATTTGTTTGGTGATGAAATTGTTGTCAGTCCAAGGCCACATATGGTATAATGTTACATTCAGGCAGACACTGCTAATCAAGAGTATGACTAATACCCTGCTAGATACCGATGGGATTATGATACTGTTTGTGGGGAGAATGTTACAAATTAAAGACCTGTTGATATTTAGATGATATAGATGATATAGTTTGAACTGGTTTGCTTCTATGATATCACCGGAGACCTCAGTATATACTACGCTCAGGTAGTAGTTGACCTTCTGGTAAAATTAAATAACAGATAATATGGTATGTATTTTCCTGTATGTATTCTGAAATACTGTAATCTGCTGATTCCATTCTGCTTATGGCAGCATCTAGTATCATAGTCTTGTGACTCCCCCCCCCCACTTACAGTACATACCTCATCAACAAGGCAGTATGGAGGTCTGAATGTGATGCAAAACTTTATTATATATTGAACAATCTCTGCATTTGTGGAGTTCTTATAAACCATATATCTTTTGATTTAATTCAGAAACTCTTTTTTTACATCACTTTTCATGACCTGTAGTACTTGGTACTGTGTATTTTCTTCTGAACCGGAGTTAAGTTCACTTTGGTTTACATCTATCTTTACTAATATTCCTATCCATATTTCCAAGTATCCAGGATTCTCAATTATTGGCACTCTATACATTGGCTGGAGATTATTATTGTTTTCTTTCTCATGTGGAGCCATTTTACTCTAAAATCTTCTGATTTACAAAGGGCTGGTTCAAATATCACAATGCCACACAAAACTATTATAAGAAGCGGGGGGGGGGGGGGGGGGTGTAAAAAGCTAGCTTTTCTCATAGAATACAGCCAAAATTCTGTTTATTTAAAAATAATAGGGGCTGATGTCTGAGTTTTTATTAAATTAGTTCCACAAAAACATTGATATTTGGGATTTTCCACTACCTTTGTTATGTTTCGTCAGGATATTGAGTATAACATAGATTGTTGTATGAAGTATTCCTTGAGGGTCAACTTTGGAATGTTTTAGATGGAATGAGGAAGTAATATGAGGGTGTTTGGAGTGCAATTTTTGCCAGAATTCTGTGAAGGCGTAAGATCCTGGAAAAATCCAAGAAACAAGATGGCAGATTGTGATACCACACACAGTATATGTTACATCATTTCTGTTGTTTGTCATTATAGTGGAAGTGTGTTTGTTTCAACTCTCATCATCTTGTCTCTTAATCTGGGCATGCCTATTATCCCACATAGGCTGAGGAATAGGTTGGGTGGGAAAGGGTATTTTAATGTTATATCACTTGTATTTGTTTCTTATCTGTGATAAGCCATATTCAGGTCTGTGTTATGATGAAACTAGCTTATGTTACATCACAATGTTATTGTTTGTAAATGCAGAGCTCCACATATCTAAGCAGATGTACATGTTATGGTACCTTGAAGACAGGTATGGTGATGCTTTTGGTACCTCTTGGATGAAACCAACCTGTGTTTAATCAAAAACATATCTGAGGTTACATTTTGTTAAAATTAACAATGTTATTATTATCAAAGTGATTCAAATGATTTCCCACTTGGTTTCTACTTGTACTGTAAAATTTGTAAATATTAATGTGGGATTTCCGAACATGCAATTTTGGCGCATTGGTGAATCCACTTATCTGATTGTCTGTCCATCCAACCCGTCCATGTATCTGTCAATAAATTACAGACAAATAAGAACTGAAAATTCGAACTTGTGCTTATTACATGCTAGCAATTCACATAGGTCACATTCCCTACTTTGCATTGTTTAGGAGACCTTGGCTTAAATGGTACCGCCATTATAGTCTACATCTTTGTGAATGGTGTTTGATGGTAGGCATTCAGCGGTCAGCATCTGTAACAAATGGCAGGTGGTGACATTTGCATGTTAATGCCTTGTTATTATTGTTTTATTTTAGAAACTGGGTTTAGACTTCTAGTTTATCAAGTATCAAGTAGGTGAGCACAGTTGCCTTAGGGAGGCTATTGTTTTCCAGTAAGGTCCTGGGAACAGTTGCATAAAGGCTCTTGTGTCTGTAAATCACCAACTTATGATATCAAATATGTTAAACATGACCCTTTAAAACTAATATCATTCACTGAAAAATGATTGAAAATTGAATAAACCATATCATATTTCTTGAATCAATGTCATTTTGGACATACAGAATGATTTTTTTCTATAAAGTGAAAGATATGATCTTGTTTGATATAAAGCACAATGATCTCCCTAGTATTTTTTCACAGGTAGGTGCAATATTCTTATTTTCACTATTTAACTTAAATTGGTCAATATATGCCAATTTTTCAAGATTTTTCTCATTTGCAAGTGGATTTTCAGATGGGTGCAAGCCTATTTTCAAAATTTCAGGTGGGTGCTGCGCCAACTTGGTTTAATGCTGGGGAGATCACAGTGTGATAAGTGGCCAAGTCAATGTGAAAACAACATTGACTCTTATTTTCACCTCGTAATTATATACTGGATAAAATTACACTTGTCCTTAGGTAGGGGGCAATGCTGCTGTTTTCTGAAAACATAAAATATGATATAGTATGCTACTTTATTTAGCATGGGGAATTCTTAAGTACTAAAATTGTGAAAACATTTTCCCTTGAGTTTAATTTACATAACTGGCAACACTTGTGATACCCCACAACGTTATCCCCAGACTCGATTGAGTTCAATTATTTTGTCTAACTTTTGCGTCTAAAATGAGATGTGAGGGTGAATGACACATACTTTTCTCAAACTATTTACAATGACAGGATTAGTTCCCTTGCAACACCATGGTGATGTAGTATATAGTAAGATGTGCCATGACTGGCACTTTGTCTTTGGTGTTCGACATCTGTAGCAAATGGCAGGTAATAACATTTAGGTTTTGTTATCCTCATAGTTTGGTTAGATTATAGTATACCTCTACTATTCCATATCTTAGTGAAATATAAAGCATGCTCATATAGTGCCTTACGGTAATGCCGGGTTGTCGGCAGCGGCAGTAGATACTCTCAATTGCCGGTAATAAAATCCATTGCCGATAATCGCCATGCTGCTGCAACATGATGATTGGCATTGCGATCCATTGTCAAATTTATGAAACAATGTTCGTTTAAGAATATTTTATCAATCATGTATATTTCAATCTCCACATTTGAAGAGCTAATCTGTCAATCAACTGCAAAGCATTCGTAAAAGGCGGGAGGATAAGCAAAACCCCACCCACTTCTGTCAATCATCTCCCATGCCGCGAGATTAACAAATCACGTGACGTGATATTTCGGTGAAGTAAAAACAAACACAAATAGTTTGATCAATTTTGATCGAATTCACTCTATATTATCATTCAAAGACTTCCTAACAATACACAATCACACACGAGATACACGATGATACAATATATCCACTGTAGTTGATGTGAGCGGGAAATCAAGCTGAGAAATCGGCTTCGTTAAGGATTTTTCCAAATATTTTAGTTTCACTTTCAGGTTTTTCCCCGGGATTTTAGGAACATTATCAGTATCAACGATTATCGGTAACGGTAAGGTAATGGAGGTGAAATTTACCGGCAGTGAGATCCATTACCGTTGCAAGCACTATGCTCATATGCATTTGGTTAACTGTAGTATACCTGGACTAAGACTGTTTACAAGGAAGCAGAAACAGATACATGGATAGGTGTTATACTTGGTATAGGATGTTGTAGGTGGGTAGATTAGTACACTGTCTACAATCTGCATCACTGGATTACAAGTATAGAT